GGATATACAAGATATAAATGTTATGGTTTTCTAGGGTAACTTTGTTAATTTGTTTCTGGTATTAGATTTTATTTTCTAGATACACTGTAATTGTAAGATTCGAAATTAATTCTGTGAAATCTAATGTTGAAAATTCAATTACATCCCAAAAATGTTGAGTAAAGAGAATCAGATATTTTTATTATTATAAAGAAAAGAAGAAGATATTTTTATTATGATGATACCAAAAAAAAAAAACAAAGATTGAACTCACACCAATCAAAAGCATAGATAACAGTCAAAGATTGTGTGTCGAAGTGTTTAAAGTGCTGTCCATGTACATACACATCTTTTTCTTCACTTTCACAAAAATTAGTAGCCAAACCACTTAAAGGTTGAAATAAAAAGAATTCCAACGTGTTATCGAAACATCAACGAGTCAAACCATGTAGTACAATCACATAAGAATGTTTTTAGAGAAATATTCCAGGATAATTTTAAAATTTTTATATGATAAAATAGTACATATGGAATTTTATATCATCAAATAGTACGTACAGATCAACGACTAAAATAAGTTTCATTAAAAAGGTAAATAGCAATTATACTCACTTCATAGATATTTTTGTAAAAATTGAACTTTTATCGTGAGTTCCGATTTTTTTTCTTTTCATAACTTTTGTTTTCTATTTTTTTCCAAAATTCTTTTTTGAACGGATCAACGAATAAAACAACTATACTCACTTTATATAACTTTTTTTATAAAAATTGAAAATTTTATCTTCAGTTCTGATTGTTTTTGTTTTCTATTTTGTTTTGAAAAAGTACAAGATTTTTTATAAAACGATTTTCAAGAAAAAAATTAAGAAACCTTCCTGAATATGTATGCTATGTTCTTAAATTAGAATTTATAAAAAAAAACATTCTTACATGTGTATGATATATTCATAAAATTCAAGAATGCTTTCATAATGTATATTCAAAATAAATTCTTAAATAAATACATTCTTAGATACATATAGTTTTTTCCTAAATTTTTTGGAATACCTTCATAAATTTGATATCTGAATTTTATATAGATATTACATATTTGAAAACATCTTCGTAATTTTTCGAAAATGTTATATATTGAGTAATGGTTTCCTAAATATGCATATTAATCAAATTTAAGAAAATGACATACACATATAAATAAAAAAACATTACATGTACATACCAGTAACATTCAAGAAGTATATTTACACATATATGAAAGCATTCATGAATTCAGAATTCTTTTTACAAATTCAAGAAGATATTATACACGTTGAAAAATAATATCGTGAAAAAATGTTATTGTCTGAATATACTGCTATTTCTGGATTTCAAATTCCTTTCCAAAATATAATGTTTGATTTTCTAGGGTAAGATTGATAATTTGTTATGACTATGTTATTTTAGAAGAAAATGTTATAAATTCGTTAATAGATTTTATTTTCCATATACAAAGCAATTTTAAGATTCTATTAGAGTTTCATCCGTACGTTTGTACGGATATATGTTTCATTATATAAATGTATACATTTGACATTATTAAATATACAATTTACTTTTTAGTAATTATATATTGTGAGACTTAATAATCTTATTGTTTAGTTTTTCATTCACTATTATTAATACACAATGATTATTTTATATTTTTTATAAATATATAATGATTTATTTGATACTTTTATTTTGTTATTCAATGTTATTAATATATATATTTTTATGAATTTTATACATACTAATATATGTTTTTAGTACATTACAATTGATTTATAATCTGAAATAATCAAATAAAATATCTCTTTTATTTTTTTAAACATTCTACAATTTTCATAAGATACATTTTTTTAAATTTGTTTATACTATTGAAACAATATATATTTAGGATAATTTATATTTTCAGTATGTGTTTAAAAATTAACTTTAACATCTAGGATTTCAGTATATTACGGGATTTTACAAAAAAAAATATTTTCAATCTAATTAATTTAGCCATATTATTTTGGTAAATTTTATATATAGTAGCATTTATAATATTGTTTTAGTAAATTTTACCGATATAAGATATTTTGAATGTTATAGTATTAAATTCATTGGTTTTTTTTTTTTTGTTATTAAACTAAGATTTCAAAATATTATGTTATTTTGATTTTTACAAAACATATTTTTTACCGTGTTCCATTAAAAAATACATTTTAACATCTACGATTTCATCTTTTATAAGATTTGAAATATTTTCACTTTGAGTTTTTTTTTTTCTTTCAAAATTGCATATATGGTCAAGAACGTTTTTTAAAAGTACATAAATATTTTTGAAGTAGTTAGATAACTTTAAATTATTTTTTTACTAAATTAAAGCATTATTTTATAAGATTATTTTAGTTTTTTCATAATATTTTCATATATTTTCTCAATAGATTGTGTTATAATTAAAAATAATTAAATTTGTTGTTAAAATAAAATTTTCATTAATATCTTTTGAACTATTAAAGTTTTCTAATATCCAATTTTTCAAATTATCACATAAGAGTTAGTTAGGTACTATTATATCATTTTTAGATAATATTTTTTTTTTGAATTTCAAACTAAATAAAAAATACGATATAGTTGTATATATAAAAAAACTAACATATACTAACATTTTTGTATAAAAATATGCATAGTTTATGAATTTTCAACCTTTTTAGACGTGAATGATTGTTATTTATTTATTTATTTAAATGAAAAACATTTTGAATTACCAATTTTATATAATCTTGTTTCATTTAATTTATATATAGTAATTCTATTTTACTATACTATAGATTATAATTATGCAATTTATAGAAATATCATAGAATTTTAAATATATATTTTTTTTGTTTATAAGAAACTTTTAATTAATATTAATTTACAATACTATTATATAGCTAATTACAAAATTAATTATTGCATTATGCTATAAAATTATTTATTTTTTTGTAAGATTTGTTAGATTTTTCTCAACAAATTTTGTAAAACTTAAATTAAAATTCAAATCTACTTTTTATCAGATTTTGTTATATATTTTTTAATTAATGCAAATATTCAAATTAATCAGATAGTCCAACTAAAACTTGTCTACAATAGATAAAAGTAAGACTTTAAATTAATAGATTGGTTTAATTTTATAAAATATATTATTTTAAGTTAGGAATTTAATTACATCCCAAAAAAAAATTGAGTCAAGAGAATATAACATTTTAATTTACATACCAACAAAAAAAACACAAAGAATGAATTCACACCACTCAAACATAGATAATAAATAGTAAAGGATTGTTTGTCAAAATGTTTAAAGTGATTTCCATATACATCTTTTTTCTTCACTTTCACACAATGAGTAGCCAAAACTCTAAAAGGTTGAATTCCAAAACATGTGACATATTTATTATCATTAATCAAAATAGTTGTCAGTTGAAAAAAGTTTTGAAAAGAAAAAACAAAAAAAAGTCAGCGACGCCGGTATTCGAACCCGGGTCTCTCGGGTGAAAGCCGAATATCCTAACCAGCTAGACTACGACGGATTGTTGACTATCATTGACTCCAGACTTAAATATATTAGTCTACAAGATCTTCTACTTGTTGTACGGGTTACTCTTCTATCCGCTGCGAGTAGCGTTTAGAGTTCTGTGGATGGTTCCAGAAGGGAAAGAGGTGTTCTGACATTGTTTTCATCGGCGATACTGTCTCTTCTTCTCCTCTGGTAACTCGAACTTTTGATTATCTATCTTCTGTTTCTTCGTTCGAGTTTATCTAGTGTTGAGAATTAGCTTTTGGTTCTTATTTAGTTTGTTGGATTAACTCGTCGAGTGTTAGGTTTAGCTGCTCGACCTGTGTTTTAGATTGCATAGTGATTAATGTAATTAGTTTATTTTTATTTTATTTTTTGCATAATTTGCTGAATTTAGGGATTTGAGCTTCTTGTTGCCAGACATAGATGATGAGTGTGTCCGGTTTAACTGTAACTCCGTCTAGATTTCACTTCCGCTGTCGTTCAGACCGGTTTGGTTCATCTCAGAGAAGCTCCAAATCTTTTACTTTTCTTCCCAAACTCATTCGTCAAGATGCAGCTTGTTACCCTCTTCTTCAAAGGTAGTTTCTTTTGTGCTTGTTCGATTAATATTTAATCATAATGCTATTTCTTATCTTTAAAGTTTTTTTTTTTCTCTTTGGTTGTTTTTGCATAGAGCTTGTTTGGCACTTCCTACACAAAGAAGCAATGCTATGATTGTCCGTGCCATGAGCAGTGCTTCCTTTGGTGATATGTCAGAGGATTCAACTGGTAACAACTATCACTCTGAGCTATGCATAACTTTAGGTTAAGCTTTCTAGTAACGGGCATGGACTTGTTTACTCATAATCTTTGGGTTATACTTGTAAATGTTTCTTCTGTGTTCCTTAGTAGTGGTAATTAACATGTTTTTTTAAATTGATCTATTCGAAAATTGTAATCGAAGCAAGAACTTCGTATTTGAAATTAAAAGTTAATGTTCCTTGCTTACTTCCATAGGTTCAGCTGTTTTCCCTCGGATCAATGTCAGAGACCCATACAAACGCCTTGGGATAAGCAAGATGGCCTCCGAGGATGAGATTCAAGGCGCCAGGAACTTTCTCATTCAGCAGTACGCAGGTCACAAACCCAGTGTCGACGCTATCGAATCAGCTCACGACAAGATCATCATGCAGAAGTTCCATGAGAGGAAGAACCCAAAGATTGACTTAACGAAGAAGGTCCGCGAAGTGAGGCAGTCCAAAGCGGTGAACTTTGTTTTCGAGAGGTTCCAAACTCCTCCCACTGCTTTCCTTGTCAAAACAGCAGTGGCATTCGCGGTTCTTGGAGCTCTGACGGTTGTGTTCCCGACAGAGGAAGGACCGACTTTTCAGGTTTTGTTGTCTGTGGTAGCTACGTTTTACTTCATACACCAAAGGCTGAAGAAGAAGCTTTGGTCTTTCCTTTACGGGTAATAAGCAAACTTTTGGTAGTTTCTTGTATTTTGAACTTGGCACCTGCTGATCAGGTTTTGAACATTGTGATGAAACAGGACTGGATCTTTCATCTTCTCGTGGCTGATTGGGACCTTCTTGATGGTATCTGTGATCCCGCCATTCATCAAAGGACCAAGAGGTTTCGAAGTCATGTCTTCTCTCTTAAGCTATGTTTTGCTCTGGGTGGCTTCGAGCTACCTTAGGTAGCTTTCCAGCTCTCTTCTTTCCCCCACTCCCTTTTTTGGGTTGCATATTTTCACAAGTTTTATTTTGGACATGAAAAAACATTTTGTAGAGAAATGGCATCATCTTTATGTGGAATGGATATTTTGTTTGTTCAGCAGAAATCAATTTATTTTATTAATGAACGTTATAACTTATAAAATTAAATTTATCATTAAAAGAGCTTCAAATTGAACTATAATTTCAGCATAAATAAACCCATATTGCACGTTTTCTTTATACATAGAGTTCAAACCGTTAAGCTTTTTTTTTCTGTATGATTCTAATTTGGAACTAGTTGGTAGTACTGACTACTGAGTAAACATATATATATGTTCCTCATGTACTATCATACTTGAATAATTTTGTACTATAACTATTATGTTAACTTATATAGTTTCCATGGCCATCTCAATTTCATTTGCAAGTTGAGTTTCATAACACAGCCCTTCATCTTGTAATGTAAAAAATATAGCATGTTGAATTTGTTGCTCTCCGTATTGTAATTAAAGAGAAAAGGGGTCAAAAATCAGAATTTTCGAGTGATTCAATGCTAAGTGGTGTGGCTTCTGTGAGAATCGCAAATGTAATTTCAAATTGTCAACTGCTATCTCTGACACGAGCTAATACAATCGTTAAAAATATTCAAACACGTTAGCTATAAAATGGCTTACTCAATGAAGCTTCATTTCATGTTAATTAAGTAATGATACTAAAACCAAAAATGCATTCCCAGCAAAATCTTCCTCTCCTTTCAAATCAAGTACAAAACCAAAACTCATAGTCATAACAACTCAACATCTTCCCACAAACTTCTGGAGTTACTAGGCACTTATACTAACTCACAATTATTAGCCACTAAGTGTAAACGAATAAACACCACACAGACATTCCTAGTCATCATCGACATTCAACAGCTAATACAATCAATAGAACATTTAAACATGTTAGCTATATGATGACTTTCTCAGTGAAGCTTCAATTCATGTTAATTACGTAATCATACTAAAACCAAAAATTGATTCCCAGCAAAATCTTCATTTCCTCTCAACTTAAGAACTAAACCAAGCTCCCGAGAAAATGCAAGATCTGGCTGGGATCACATCACATGATTCCAAATAACAACTCTTGAACCTCAATTGGTGACGCTTCATGAACACGTTTGGAAACTTGAACTTCTATTTTTCTCCGATGATCCACTCAGAGGCTGGATAATTACACTTTTGATATGGAGAAATGTTTGGAGAATGACAATGCTGAGTCCCATGAAAAATATTTATGACTCAATCACTTCCGATGTTCCGTGATGGATTGTACGACAATAGTTGTTGTATCTTTATGGTATATTAGTATTGTGCATAAGCAACCTGGATGAAGGAAAACAAATTTGATACCTTTGGCTCGGAGAGTAGTTTATCAAATGCTGACCCCCATTGGAGAAGGATAAAAATATTAATGCAACATTTAGTGGTATATCAGAAATATGTAAATCCTCAAACCACCAAGAAAGTGCCTCATCATCAGTGACATGGATAATCGGTGAAAGCATTGCTATTACTATAACCAAATGAAGAGATCTATTAACTTCATTTGGTGACAATAATATTAAACAAAAATACGCATTGTTATTGCTTTTGTTTTCACCTTCAGCTATCGCTTTTGTTTTCACGTTTAATGACTATTGAATTTTTTTCCATTATGCATGTCTTAATCAATTTTACAACAAATTCAAAACGTTGGAAGTGATCATACCATCTAAATGGCTACATAAACCAAAAAATACAAACTGAACAGACCATCTAAGCGAAATACATAAACCAAATATACAAACTGAACTAATCTGAATCAAGAATATCTCGAGATTTAATATCCACACCAGTTCTGAAATGCACTAGGACTGCACACTCTTAAAGCCAAAACTATGTACATCACTTAGTTATGAGACATAGTGACACACGAGTTTGCTGGAGATTTCTTCATTTCTACCTAAGCAGAGATTCTAAATCTCGTGACGCTCCACATTGAAGTATCATTCAAGTTCCTTAGTCATCAAAAACATTGAGCTATAATTTCAAATTTTCAATCTATAGTCTTACCTATGCTACAGAAAGGATTACATTATGCTGAAAAATATGAGTAACTTGATTACGTGAGTGCGTTTCTGAGTATTCTTGTCTATCGTCGTGTCTTTTGGAGTTCATAGATATACACATGTGGGATGATGGAACCGGAGAAAATAAAACACTTCGTAGGCAAATTATCACATCTTGAACTACTGAAAGTTCATTCAGGGAGAAGTATAAGTGACAATGAGAAGCTAAGGATCACCAATCACTTGATGAGTCTTTCACGAGCTTCTCTTAAGTGCAAGGTGGAAATCACTTGATACCGTCAATCAAACATTAAAGTGGAACTCTGATTCTAAACTCATTATGGGTCACTCTTAACACTAGTTATTTTCTCTATGTTTTCTTTTCTGTTATTCGACTCTCTTTATATTTTAGTCTGATATTGACTACAGTCTAGACATTGCTTGTAACTAAATTCTCTGATGGGTTGTTCTTAACTGATCATTTAAACTTCAATCCAAATCGAGTTTGCTGATTTACCCGTTGAGAAATATCTTATTAGACTATCAAACGTAAAGAGTAGAAACACAAACTTAAAAGAAGGGATAATTTATTTTCAGATACATAAAATTAAAACCGTAATTAATTGTTAAGGACTTCCAACTTGCAATTTGGTGCAGCTGGCCATCGTATCAGACTTTGATTCCTTCTTAGAGGAGTACTTGCATCTCTCTCAAGTATCTGAGGCACTGAGGAAGTGCTTGACTAATGACATCTCTCCACAAGTTGCACCAAAGTTTATTATCTTCAAGATCTTCACATGACAAGATGATAACAAGAAGAAGAAGAATAGACCAAGGAGAGAACCACCTCATCTTTGTGGCCTGCTTCTTCACCATAACTTGGTTCTTCTTTTCTACCCTCAATGACCTTTGAACAATGGTAGATTCACAAACTTTACAGAACGCCTCGTCTCCAAACGATCCTCATCATGAACTTCATTTTGATCAAACCGGTTTATCATACCAAGGATTGCTCTATGAATTTGAGGTCATCTTCCACTTGAGGATGTTCAATGAATTTTCTGAGAGAATGGCTCAGGTTTTTCGTATTGGTTTCAAGCTCTTGTGCTAATGCTTCAAGAAGCTGAGACAAAACTTTGTTTTCTTCAGATTCTCCTTTGCTTTATCCAAATCAGCTTCAATGCTTTTGCTTCATTAGTACCTCCGTTTCTCTCCACTATTTCTCTAACCACACGGTCGATAATCATCGCAACAATTTTAATAATTGCTAGGCATAACTGTTATATGAAAAAATGTATAAAATATATAACTTCTCCTGAGTCCTGACTTGTTGATGTAATTATCTCCGAGAGAATTCTCTCGCCAAGAGAGTGACAGCCTCTTTAACAGACCGGAAATGAACTATTTAAGAGATGTTTTGCTGCTTTAGTAGTATGAGTTTGTGGTCCATGCCATGACAAACCATATATCGAAATTCTTATAAAGAAAAATCATCACCCAACTATTGTTGTTGTCGTTAACTAATAAGATAATTAACTACGTTATGATTAGATTATGTTATGGGTTCCAGTGGATTCCGTTCCACCATATTATTGGGATTCATTTTTTAAATATGATAAGAAGTTGTATGTGTTCGCGTTTACTTCACACAAAATGTATCTTTGGGGAGATAAGACGTACGTAGAGAGTAGAGGGGATCGTTGGAACGTCCTTCTGTTTTCATGTCTTTCTGTTATTGCGACAACGACCTTTGTCCTGTTAGTCTCATTAATGGGCCCTTATTGGGCCAAGAAATCACAACTGTGTTTGAAATCACTCTCTGGTGACCAAAATACAAAGCAGCGCCGATAATACAATTATTGGGGAAATTATTGTTTAGTAAAAAGAGACTCTTCTTCAGAAGCAAACTCTTTTGGCCTCTATGATCTCATCATCGTCATTGTTGTACACAACAAATCTTCTATGTTTCCCTGCAAACTCACCTTGTCTCTTCTCAACACTCATCATCTCCACTTCTTCATCCTCCAATAATGATGATGACTTATCCGTGAAATCAAACAGCAAAGAACGACTTATACTCATACTCTCTTCAAACACATCGCTCCCCTTCAAACTCCCATCAACATACCTTACCTGAGAAGATGCTCTCAAGTCTCCCGCAAGAACCGGAGACGCGATCTTGATCTTGACCTGATCATCTGAAAAGATTGGAAATTGAGGAGTGTTTGCTGGAGTTGGAGCAAGAAGTCTCATCGGAGAAGTGACGAGATGGATGAAAGGGGGAGACTTTATCAAATGGGTAGTAGTAGTAGTAAGCTCTGTTCCTTCCTCAACTTTTTCCAAAAGTGTTTTGACTTGTCCTCTCAAGAGAGCTTCACCGGAACCAGGTGTGCTCTTGATGATGATTCTGCTGTTCTGTCTCTTCTTACACATGAGTCCTGTAGGAGGAGTCTGCATCGCTAGACCCACGATCGGTGAGTCGTTTGTTATGTCGAGTAGTGCAGATCTGTCTTCTTGTGGGTTGATGTTTTTCTTTTGGAGAAAGCTTGAATCCTCTGTTTTGCCTGAGGTAAAATTGAAAGGGAAAGATGTTAGATTTAGAAAGTAGAAGGAGATGCTTTAAAGAAACTACAAGAAGCGTGACGTGGAAAGATAAACATACTTGACGAATCAGAGTTTTTGGTAGAAAAGATAGTCTGCGATTCAGAGATTTTTTTTGTTGATAGTGGAGTCTCCATTTTTTTTATTTTTGATCTTCTTTGTAAACCAATCTCAATTTCAATATCTGAGGAGGCTGCAAGAGAGAATTAGAAAAGGCAGACGAGACAGAGATAAACAAGTGTGAGGCTCGTAGGTGGTACCGTGGCAGTATTAAAAGGCATGGGGGGGAAAGGTTGCCGTTGGAAAGTTTGTTCAGAAACAAAGAAAGTAGCCGTTGCGTTTGCGTAGAAACGGAAAGTGGAAGGAGCCGGAAACTAGCCGTTAGGTTTTTATGGGCTTTGACTAATTAAGACGGCTGCATTTAAGCCCAGCCCGTTTTATCAATCTGTTGCAAGCTTGTTATATACAAAACGGCCCTTTTAATGGAAACATGAACCAGATATCTCACAGTAACGGTCTCAGTTTCTGAGTTGTATTGTTGGTACTTCAAAGTGTAAATATTTGAGGATTGAATAGAAAAATGACTGTGTGAACTAATTTTGTTGGATCATTAGCCTTTTTGACATTCTTGCTTTAGATCTTAACCTAAACTTTTACCTGTTCATGGTACTACTTGTTGGACGTATTGCCTTTCTTATTTTTTGGCTAGTTCTGCACAAATGTGCAATGTTTCATGAATATTCATTTTTTCCGGTCATCTTTGTATCTCCATATACGCATCATTTGTCTTTAGGTTGATATCAACTTTTACAATCAAAAGATGCATAGGAGTACTGGAGTATAGGACTACATCAATACCTACACTCTGCTTATCCCTTGGTATATATTTAGGACCATTCAACTTAACTTTCAGTAACTTTACAAACAAATTGGTTTCGTGGTGTAGTTGGTTATCACGTCAGTCTAACACACTGAAGGTCTCCGGTTCGAACCCGGGCGAAGCCAACACTTTTTATTTAAAACTTTTTGAACGTAATAATATCCAAAAATATCGCCGTTGCCGGGGATCGAACCCGGGTCACCCGCGTGACAGGCGGGAATACTTACCACTATACTACAACGACTCTGATGTTCAATATAGTATTTAGTAATTAATAAAGAATACTTTATTTAAATTAATAATTGTTGGTCTTGAGATTTAGAAGTTCCCTTTGCGCCGCACTTCTGTCTTTCTCTCAAAGTTTTCGGTGAAGAAAGCTTCTTCGCCTCTCCTCTTAATTTCGCATCGCTCCTTTAGTTTCGTTTCTAGACATAACCTTTCTCCATCAGGTTTGTACCAATCGATAAACCTAACTGTCTCCGTTCTTGTCGGAACTTTATCTTAAACTAGTCTGAGTTTTATTAGTATCTACTTGTTTGGTCAAGGCCTTGTTCATTGCTTTAATTATTAAGATTCAAATATTTTTTAGCGTTATCCTGAATTTGCAGCTCTAGGGTTTCATTCACTATTACAACAGTTTGAGAAATTTATAATTTTTTTTTTTTTTATCAGAGTAGCAAAAGAGTTTTAGAGTAAAAGGCGTAAAGGATGAAGCTTGATGTGAATGTGCTGAGATATCTATCCAAAGATGACTTTCGAGTTCTCACTGCTGTGGAGATGGGAATGCGTAACGTAAGTCTTCTCCTTTGTTATCCTTGATTTCTATGGTTTAGGGTTTATTAACTTGTATTCTGAAAAAAAAAGACTTTCTTTTTGGTTTTTTGCAGCATGAGATTGTTCCTTCTGAGCTCGTAGATCGTATTGCTGGTCTCAAGTACGCTCTATCTAGCTTCTTTGAATGCTTTTACTTACTTTCATATTGTGTGTTCACATACCTGTTTATTAATATTGCACAGACATGGAGGCACTTACAAGGTCCTGAAGAACTTGCTCAAGTATAAGCTTTTGCATCACGACAGATCTAAATGTTAGTAGAGTTTAGTCTCTCTAATTAGTAGTTTTTTTCCTTCTTGACAGTGTTTTTAATTCTCTATTTTTCTGTCTAGATGATGGATTCAGACTCACTTATCTGGGTTACGACTTTCTTGCTATTAAAACATTGGTCAACCGTGGTGTCTTTACCGGTGTTGGTCGTCAGATTGGGGTTGGTAAAGAGTCTGGTAAGTCTTTTATTTTGATCCATTTGTTTGCTGAAGAGATGATACTGCTTGGTTGCTGATAGTTGTGGGTTGTTTGCATTATAATAGACATATTTGAGGTGGCTCAGGAAGATGGAACTATTCTGGCAATGAAGTTGCACAGACTAGGGAGAACCTCTTTTAGGGCTGTCAAATCTAAGCGTGACTACTTGAGGCATCGCAGTAGTTTCAGCTGGTTGTATCTCTCCCGTCTTGCTGCTCTCAAGGAGTTTGCTTTTATGAAGGTTGTTGCCTTGTAACACTATTCTTGTGGGTATATCATCTTATTAAAATCTATTGCCTAATGTTTGTTTGGCTTGGACTGAGCAGGCTTTGCAAGAACATGACTTTCCGGTTCCAAAAGCTATTGACTGCAATAGGCACTGTGTTATTATGTCTCTTGTTCAAGGCTACCCCATGTAAGTACTTATCCTCATATTTATTTAGTAGTGCTACTGTTGCGTTTTGGTCGGATTTTATTTTTTGTTAACATTAAGGAATTTATGATTGGATTCAGATTCCAAAAGTTTATTCATTTGCTTCACATACCAACCAAGAAACAGTTGTAACACTGCTGCTGTGAATCACATCTTTCACATTTTGATTTATGACAGGGTTCAGGTGAAGCAGTTACAGAACCCTGAGACAGTTTTCGAGAAGATTATAGCCATTGTTGTTCGTTTAGCTGAGCATGGTTTAATTCATTGTGACTTCAATGAATTCAACATCATGGTGAGATACTTTTAGATTTATGCATCTATTTGAAGCAGCCTCCTTATATGAGTTATTTAATGCTTCTGTAATCATACTAGCGTTGTCCTCTGCTTACTAATAGTTTTCTTTGACACCTTTTGTGTATAGATTGATGATGAAGAGAACTTAACGATGATTGACTTTCCACAAATGGTATCTGTTTCACACCAGAATGCACAGATGTAAGTGATGTTTCTCATCTTTGGATCATGCTTTAGTCCTATCTATTCATTTTCTATACTCTGTTCTTGTTTTGTTTATGTATTTTTTCTTCGTTCAGGTACTTTGACCGTGATATCGAATGCATATTCAAGTTTTTCAGAAAAAGGTTAGTTACCAATTGATTTATTTTACATATTCATCTGTTCCCAATACCTGGTAGCAAATAACGTCATCCTTACGTTCTCTATTTATGTGAACTCTGGTCCTTTCTTCCAGGTTTAATATGTCTTTCCAAGAAGAAAGAGATGAGACAGAGGTGGAAGTAGATGAGAACAGCAGACCATCTTTCTATGATATAATTAAAGATGCCAATGCTCTGGATAGAGAATTAGAAGCCAGTGGTTTCACGAAAAAGGAGCAGAATGACCTCGATAAAGTATGTGAGCCTATAACCTCAGTATTAACACTATCTATCTATCTGGGGTTGTATCTTCTTAGAAAATATATATAATATTGTGTATGCATTTTGAATTGTAGGCGGCTGAATGTGTTAGTTGTGCTCTAATGTACAGCACTGGTCTCTTTATGTTATGTCTGTGAATGGAATGTAGAAAGATCATATGGTTTTTTGTCTTGTGTAGTTTATTGAAGGTGGACTGGAGAAGAGTAAAGATTCTGACGAGGATGAGGAATCTGATGATGAAGAGCAGACTTCCGAGCCAATTGAAGAAGAAAACCTAAACGAAATGAATTCACTACAGCTTCAAGAGGCGGTATAAAAAATTTCACAAAGTTCATCTTATAACTGAAACATGTACAGAGTGAAGTTATTCTCCTCTTTTAACCTTCCTCCTCGTGCTAACACTGTATGCTCTTGGTATGATGTTGTAGGAGCAGAGAAGTTCAGGCGGTGCTGAGGCAGAAGCTGAGTTGGATGATAATGAGAAAGAAGAAAGCAGTGGAGATGAAAATGAAGCTGGAAGAGATGAGGTTAGTATCTTATGTGTAGTAACTTTAAAGAGTATTGAGTTAGCTAAACATGCACTTTCTTTTGGTTCAGGAGCTGGACAAAAAACTGGGAAAGCAAAGACGCAGAGCCATGGCAGCAGCCAGGGGAGGTAGAAAGTCGCAGTCTTCAAGAAACACATACAAGGACAAAGGAGGCCGTTCCCAAAACTCCAAGATCCACAGCAACATGAGTGGCTGGTGATCAAACTTTTTACAGCAATTTGGGATAGATACACAACAAAACAAAACTCTGCTTAATGGGCCTTTCAATGTTGTAAACGGGCTTAATTTATCTTCCAAAGTGGACACAAACCAATGTACGAATCTAAATTTTTTTTTTTTTTTGGAACACATTACGAATCTAAATTTTTTTTTTTCTTTGATCAAAAAAAAAAAAACATTTCAAATTTGATATGGGTATGTTTCTATATAACACATTACGAATCTAAATTATATGGATATGTTTCTATATAAAACATCTCAAATTTGATACTTGTCTAAAGTTGTTTGATTTGGTTTTGGAGGGGCAAATCAGAAAATATATGGAAATCAAGGGAGTAGATGAGGAAACGCTCCCTCGATAAACGGGAATAGAAAAATAAAACGCAACGGCTAGTAGTGATCTCAACGGTCGTAAAATTTAAACCTATTTATAAATCTCAACATCTTCTGCACAACATCACTCCCGGATCTGAGATTCACTTGTCTTCTTCTTCTTCTTCTCCATTGACTCTCCAAAGATGATGAACGACGTATTCAGACCGACCAAATCCGCTCCTTGTTCTCCTGCAAAGCCACTTGGTATCTCCCGAACTCGGTCTGAATCATTTCACGCCATCCACAAGGTTCCAATCGGAGACAGTCCTTATGTCCGAGCCAAACATGTTCAGGTGATTAGAACTTTTGTTCTTTATTTGATTTTACCATTTATTTATTTTTTTTCAAAATCTGATTATTGTTTTGTGATTGAATATGGTTTCAGTTAGTGGAGAAGGATCCGGAGAGAGCGATTCCTCTGTTCTGGTCCGCCATAAATGCCGGAGACAGAGTGGACAGTGCTCTGAAAGACATGGCTATCGTGATGAAGCAGCAAGACCGTGCAGAAGAAGCTATTGAAGCCATTAAATCTCTCAGAGTCAAGTGCTCAGATCAAGCTCAGGAATCACTTGACAATATCCTCCTAGATCTCTACAAGGTCCTTCCTTTACACTAAACCCCTAATCTCCTCTGTTCCTCTGTTTCCTTTTGCAACTACTTGTTTTTCAGATTAGGGTTCCTCTGTTTACACAAAAACCTAACCGCCGCTGTTCCTCTGTTTACTTCTGTAACTAGTTGTTTTCAGATTCGGCTTCCCCTGTTTACACAAAAACCTAATCTCCCCTGTTCGTCTGTTTACTTCTGCAACTAGTTGTTTTTTAGATTAGGGTTGTCTCTGTTTACACAAAACCCTAACCTCCCCTGTTCCTCTGTTTCCTTGTGCAACTACTTGTTTTTCAGATTAGGGTTCCTTTGTTTACAAAAAAAACTAAATCTCTTCTGTTCCTTTGTTTATTGCAGAGATGTGGGAGATTAGATGATCAGATCGCACTTTTGAAACACAAACTCTTGTTGATACAGAAAGGACTCGCCTTTAACGGCAAAAGAACCAAAACCGCTAGGTCTCAGGGCAAGAAGTTTCAAGTCTCTGTTGAGCAAGAAGCCACTCGGTTACTAGGAAACTTAGGATGGGCTTTGATGCAAAGAGACAACTTTGTGGAAGCTGAAGATGCGTACAGGAGAGCTTTGTCTATAGCCCCTGACAACAACAAGATGTGTAATCTCGGTATCTGCCTTATGAAGCAAGGCAGGATCGATGAAGCTAAAGAGACGTTACGACGTGTGAAGCCAGCGGTTGTGGATGGTCCTAGAGGAGTTGATTCTCATCTAAAGGCTTACGAGAGAGCGCAAGAGATGCTTAGGGATCTTGGTTGTGAGATGATGAGAAGAGGAGGGGGTGATAGAGTTGAGCAGAGAAGGGTTTTTGACGCAATGTTTGGGTCTTCTTCTGTTTGGCAGCCTCAGCCTTGTAGAGAAGCTAACTTGAAGCCCAAGGCAAAGATGGTGGATTTGAGAAACGATGGATACGGTGACGAGAACGTGAAGACGACGAATGTGAACGTGAACCCATTAAGGGTGGATGCAAAACCGTTCTTTTCTTCTAAGCTGATCAGCAATAATGAGAAGCTCAAGAGAACAAGAACGATGGGAATGTTGAGTTCGGGTGGTGTTGGTGGTGATGAGGGAGAGACAAACACGAAGAGGAGAGTGTCAATGGAGAAGAGAGCGATAGAGTGTGGATTACCAGACAACAAGGAGTTTGAAGAGGCGATGATAATGGCTGTTTTGGGGACAGAGAAGAAAGTGGAGGACAAGAAGAGGCTCAAGGTTTTTCAGGACATCACTTTGTCCTGTCTAAGCCCAAGAGCCTGAGTAGTCTCATCTCTAAACTATCTATTTTTTTTTTTATCGTTCTAATTTATTAGCAAGTAAAGTTGGGGGGTGATGCCAAAAGGAGATGAGCTCTTAATCTCCTTGGTGGATTTATTTAATGTTTTTGTCAGCTTAAATTTGCTACATTAATATCATTTGACCAATAATGAAGGTTTTGTAATCTGCAATCTACAAAAAGATGATCGGCAAAACTCTTAAACTCTAAACCTTTATCATCAAAACGAGCAGAGAAACGCTAAGGATCAATTTTTGTGTGAAAACCCTAACAATGTAAACCGATGTTAAGCTTTTCAGGAATGTCTGTATGTATGACTGCCAAAACCTCTCAAGTCTTGTTTATTCACGTTGTTGCCCCATTTTCTACTTGAACTTCCAAGAATAACCTCTCAAGTGTTGCTTATATAATGATGATGAAACTGAATGAATATTGGGAAAATTCCATATAAATACCCCAACTAAATTCTATTAAGCTTTTTAATACCCAAACTTTTTCCTTATCCAGTTTAATACCTCAACTAATTATTTTAATACACCAACTTTTATAACTGTATCTATTTTAATACTCAAACTTTTTTTATTTTAATTAACAATACTAATAAATTTCAAACGAAATTTTAAAAAATCTCCAAAATCTAAGAAAAAATATTTAAATTTTCTAAGTTTATTTGAAGATTTAAGAAATAAGGTAAACAAACTCTGTAGAAAATTTAATGTTTTAAAAAAAAGGTTTTTGAAGGAAAAAAAAATAATTTACTTTTTATTTCAAAAAAACAAACTAAATTCAATATATAAAACTTAAAAAACTTATTACAAAACTTAAGATTATAAAAAAATTATTTAATTTCGTTACTCAAACATATAATAAAATTAATTTTTTTTCTGAAGTTTAGACATTTTTAAAATTTCATTGGAAACTTATTAGTATTGTTAATTAAAATAAACAAAGTTTGAGTATTAAAATGGATACAGTTATAAAAGTTGATGTATTAAAGTGGGCAGAATAATTAGTTGAGGTTTTAAACTG